TTGAATGGAAAATTGCAGCCTTAACAGGAGCAATTATGGCATGTGAACAAACATTTCTTGAAAAACTAGAAGGTCAGGCAAGATGATACTGTAAGACAAATAAGGGGAACGGCTCCTTTGTTAATTATTGCTGGTTTACAAAAACAATGACGGTGGATTATCAAAGACATCCCTTAGTTGAAAGAGAACCAGAGAAGAAACCATCTGTTCTTCCCTTTTGAGGTTTGCTGTACCTTTATGCTTAGGGGCTGAGGAAGGTGGGAAAAGAACTCTTTCCTTTATTAGGCCAACCTTCAAGAACTGTTCATATTAATCTTAATTTTTGTATTGTGCGTGTATAGTTTTGTGGGTTTTTTTCCATGCGAGTAACGTGATGCAGGTAGATCTCTGTGGCTGCCATTGTGTTCTCTCGTATATGGTTGCCTCCCAGCGAGGGATGTTCCTTCCCCCGGAAGAAGACTTTTAGGGGCTGCCCAGAAAAGCAGAGGCAGATATAGGAGGGTTTGTCTGTCTAAAATGTTTTTCTTTTAAATGCTGAAACACGCTGATGAACAGGATGCAGAATACCTGCTCAGAACTGTTAATATTTGGTGCAGGTTCCATTCTGTATTTATGATACAAAACATTAGGGAGGCTTGCTTCAGACACAGGCTTTAGTTTCAAAGCATCATTTTTGCAAGCCCACTCAAATGGAAATACATGTTAAATATTTACTGCCTTAGTGGCTTATCCTTGGATACCAAATCATTTTTCCTACTGCTTTCCCCAAATACTGGATAAAGTACTGTAGAAAATAAGTATGTCGCTTGTGAAAGTTTACCTTGATAACTGCATAGCTAATTTTGTGCAAATAAAATGTTAAATGCAGATATTTTGCATGGTGAGAGACCTAATCTTTGCTATGAGTATAAAGACAAGTTAAAACTTAAATGCTGACATCTCTCTTCTAGAAAATTATCCGTGGCTGCAAAAGCATTTATACTTCAGCTCAACTTTTCGAAAAAGACAGTGTCTTTAATTATTTGTGTTTTATTACTGCTATGAAATCTTTTCCAGTAAGTCACTGTCCTGAGACAGATCGAGTTTGATGGAGCTTCTCCTTAACTTAAACGAATTAGTTATCAAAATGGAGAATGTAAATATTATCTAATTGGTGTCATTTGGCAAAATTTTTGTGATGCAAGTCATACTGGAGACAGCATGACAATCCTTACATCTTCTAAAGAGTCTCCTTGAAAATGGCAATAGAACGCTTGCTTTGATTGGACTGGGGAGAAAGGACAAGTCGAAGAGCTCGAGACGTATTTAACTGCAACTTTCTGTTGTGGCATTATAACACCAGAAAATTGATTCTCCAAATTTTGGTTCAGAGAGAGTTTCAGAATATCAACCGACAGTTGATATAACCCTAATTTTTTGCCCTCTGGGCATAATTATCTTATTCTATTTGTCATTAGGGATGAAACTCATTGTCATCTCTGATGTTTTGCATTTTAAAAATTTGAAAGCCAGTGTTTGTTTCTTTCTCTGCTCCTCCTGTGAAATCAATATACCTTTCTGAAATTGCCATATGTGTCTGCTTTTTTTTATTCCTTTTCAAGCAAGAACTATGTTCATTTCCATGAAGGAATGAGTTGTTCGTCACAAGAAGCTGCAGAAGGGTGAATCAATGAGCAATGGGGAAATCAGTAGTTTAGCTGTTTTTTTTTTCTTTTTTTCTAACTACAGTAAACTGTGTTTATGAAATTGAGTTCTCTGTGTATGCCTTTGAAAGTAGGACTGTGATAAAATATTTACAGGTATGGCATGAGGAATAGCTAATGAATGTCTCCAGTACTTTCAGCAAAGCTGTAGAGGTAGTGTGTAATGCATATGAAACAACTTTTGTTCAGAAATCTTTCTAGTATAGTGAAACACTTAATAGTCTGACTCATATAATGTATAACAACAATGTCCTCAATTAAGGTGTTTCATTCTCTTTAAATTGTCCTGAATATGAGAATATTTTAGGGCAGAGAAAATCCTATCAAAAACTCAACTTGTTCTATGTTTAAAAAAAAAAAAAGTAAAAATTTTGAAATTATTTGTCTCTGCTGTTTGCATTCGTGGAAAAGGAAATGGGTATGTGATTTACATGGTGGCAAGACTGTCAGTTTGTGTGTTAGAAGCTGGAGGCCTGCTTCTGCATCTTCATTGTAGAAGATAGAGCCGGGCCTTTGTAGAGAGTAGTAGTTGGTGTGATACAGTGAAGTGCAGCAGAGCTTAAACCCCCTCTGCTTATCCAAGGAGAGCTGGTGCTCCACCTCAACCCCTTCATACTTTACACACAGGATAGGTGGGAGCTATTACCATGAACACTGGCCAATGGTACCATTTAGTGCATTTTTTTTCTACCTTACTACATCAGCCATATATCTGTGTGATGCATCTCATGAGCACAAGAGAGAAAGGGAAATCCATTGCACAAGGTAATGCCATGCTTTCCAAAGCTCAAAATTTGCCCAATTTTAGATCGATTCTCTCTGGAAAGTGGTCAGGCAGTCAGTGTGCTGCATCTGCTGCTAACGTGCTCACTGAGATCATTTGGCTGCTCCCTAATCTGCTTATTTGCTGTATTTGTCTTGTTATGAAAAGGACCGAAGTCTCCCTGGGGCATGCTGAGGACTGCAGAAGCCACCTCTCCCACAGAAGCTTCTGTTACAGCAGCATGTTGAGCAATAGAGACACTGGAAAAGGTCGTATTTACTTGATAAAAGCCAAGTGTGTCTGCTTGATTCTAGTTTTCAGCTCTCATTTAGAGGACATTTTAAGAGCAAGAAAGTTTACGTTTTCTCCTTTTTAAAAAGTAGCTTTGTCATTTTGAATTAACTTCAGGGATCAGTGATGGCTGTGAGACTTCTGTCTTTAATATTTCTGACACCTACATAAAACCTTTTTGCATCTGTCAGGGAGGGTCCTCAGCAGGGGCAAATACAGCATCAAACCAACATTTCCCTCTTTGAAAAGAGAGAGTGCTGCCTCTGCTGTAGGCTAACTGGTTTTCATGTTCCATGACACTAATGTTTTTGCTGCTTGGTGGCAGAGCACAGAAGGACACTCAAATTGAAACCTTCAAAAAATACAGTGATCCCTTCTTAAAGCCTATAGATGAGGTTTTATTGGCTTTTTTATTTTTGGTAATATGCCTGTAATATTCCTCTAAGGTCTTTACCATTTGAAGGTTGAAAGCTGTGTGATAAAAACAGATTTGTAATAAAACACAACCTCCTTATAGAAGTTGCACTAAAAATAGTTCTGGTGGTGCCCTGGGGGTGTTCATCAGCTAGCGACAGTGGCTGCGTTTTCACAGCGGGAAAGCAGGGCTGGTGAGGTCAAGGAGGATGAGTCTGTATTCCTGTGGGGAGTTTGGTAGGAGCATTAAGGGTTTTTTGAGCTTTTATGGATAAAATGGGTGTGGGTTTGTGACTGTATTGTTTAAAATACCTGGAAAGCTGGAACAAGCCCAGAAGAGTTCCAGTGCTAGCTTTCAGTGTGCACTTGTTTTAGGACCCTCAGATAGCAGGTCTAACTGACCTCTACTAATAACTTTCACATTTCAAAACTAGAAAATTGCAGCTAAATACTCATGAATCCCTGCATGCTTCTGTTGGAACAGAATTGGTAAGTTACAATCCTGGCTTTTGCTTTACTTCTTTTACGCTTTTAGAAACACTGACCTGGTTTACTCTTTACAAAATAATGACTCACTGAAATGTCTGCATCACCAGAAACTAATCCCACCTCCGCGTGCTCTTCGTTTTCCAGATGATGAACCTGTAACATCTGTTTTACAGGAAGACTTTCTTACTTCCTCATGCCCATAGGTGCAAAATGGTTTCTCTTGGGAGCATGGGTGCAGGTGACCATGTTCAGCATGTGGTTTGACTGAGGTGACTGATTGATTCCTGACTTGTGCCAGCAGACAAGAGAGGTCCTGTTGGACTAGAGACCTCACTTAGCTTGTGGGAGCGAGAGTACAATAAAATCCCCGTGGCAGATGTCAACGTGATAGGATTTGAGCAGGCACTGTTTTTGTGCAGCAGGGAATCTTCATCAGAAGCACAGGGAAACTTCAGCTTGAACTAAAATCCAGGCTTATCTTAGGGAATACATGTGGGATTCAGACATGCAACAAGAGAAGAGAGCCAGCACCTTTTCAGATTTTTTGCTTGTCTCATCCTGTGCAAAGAATAGTCTGCTGTATGTTAATTTTAAAGTTGTTTAGAACTCTACTGGGATTTTAAACGAGTATTGTTGTGGTGTGCTTGTGATGTTGCTTCCTTTGTCTGCCTATTGCCATATAGCTGGCCAGCTCTATAGGAGACCTGTCTGTGGAGTGCCTTTTAATGTTTAGATCTAGCAGTGATTAGAATACACTAATGCCCAGTGGGTATATGTGTCATTTTTTAACAGCTGCCGAGCTTTCTCCCTGCTGCTCCAATTAACACATTCAGTACACACTTGCCGGTGAGTGGGCTGTGTGCGCGGATTAAACCACTTTGCTATTTATTCATTCAGCTTATGTGATGCCAGAAATGAATTGGCATGTTTTCTCTTCTTAAAACAAATGAAATCAAATGGACTGCTGAGCCTGTGCCCAGGTAAATATGAGGGCAGTATTTAACTGGCAAGTAGAAATCTATTTTACTTTGAGATATGGTTCAGTCCATTGACTAACATCTATCTCCGCCTCCCGGCCCCTCTTCAAATGATGGAGACACAGGATAGGGAGCTCTCAGTGCTGGGTTTCCCCTTGCTGGCAGGCAGGTCTCTTCAACTTTGTCCTCTGCTGTTTAATAACATCTTGAAATCCTGAAATTCTCCTTTTTCTTCAACGTTTTCCTCCTTTATTTATTTTCATGTTGAAATATTCTAGTCAGTCGATTTGATAAAGTGTGTTTCTGTTTGTCCCTTTCTCTTTTAAAGGGAAAACAATATGCTTCCTAGTCAGAGCTGAGATAAGGGAGGGGTTGTTTAATGGTACTGGAGCGGCTAGTGGGAGGCTGCAGCTTTGCTTTGGTGCTTGTGGTTAATTCATGCTGGACAGCTCTTTGTGAAACAGAGGGCAAAGGGGGCTGCTGGCTGGGGCTGCTGAGGAAGGAGATGGAGCGCTTCTTGGGCTTTGTCAAGCAGATAAGAAGATCGAGGAGAAGAAAAGGCAAAAAGTACCGGCCAGAGGAGGATTACCATGAGGGCTATGAGGATGTCTACTATTATGCCTCAGAACATTTTCGAAGTAAGTATTTCACATAACCTCATTTTCCTTTGGCTGTGATAAATGTTATGCTTTTAAGATGTTTAAACTCCAAAAATGCAAACAATATCCCTCCCTTGCTAGAACCTGAGCCCCATGTATGTATTAGAAGTCAGTTCCCGTGAGGGCTTTATCTGGCTGTGCTGCTGCTGAACAATACAAAGCAGCTAAAGTGGCACAGAAGCTCTCAAAGTGAGCGGGGTCTGTCTGCAGACTCTGGTGAGGTTTCAGGTGCAGTCTGACTGCTGGAAACCTTTTGTTAAAACACTGTGTGTTGAGAAGTGGGTAGGGTGGTGGTAGCCTTTGTAGAGTGCCTTTGGAAAGCTGCATGGATATTTTTAAAGCATTACGGAGGCAGCAAGCACTCATTTGTAAGTTGGAGTTGATGATTAATGTTTAGTATTGAGGGAGAGTCAGTTTTCTGAGCCTCTGCTGTGACTTGGTCTTTACAGTAGCGAGTGACTCAAGTGGGCTGGTTCCTCGCTCCAGGTCCAGGACTGCTCGTGGAGAATTATGGGGGGGGGTTTGTTTGCTGGCACTCACGTGATGGCAGCAGCAGCAGCTCAACCCAAAACCAAAATAAACCACCTGCTCAGAAGTCCATTTGCGAACTGTGCACTGAACCTTGCAACTTCTTAGTGTTTGTCCCCTGTGCTTGTCAGGCTTCAGAGCTGCTGGTCTGCCATGGCTTTCTGGAAGAAGGGATGTGCTCAGAGGTGCCCACAGGGACAGGTGGGAGGGAGGGAAGCCATGCTCAACCCCTGCCTGGGGTCTTGTACAGTGCTGTGAGGATGAGGTGGTGGCAGTAGAGCCAGTCATGCACAGAAATTGCCTTTTTAAAAGGTTTCTGCTGTTCTGGCTGCCGGTTTGGGACCTTTGCAGTGAAGCTGTGCCTTGTTGAGATGCTAAAGTTTGATGCACTCTTTTTGTTGTTCTGTGCATGTGAGTGACTGTCAGTATCTTTTTGCTTCATTTCCCCCTTGCTGAAATAAATCATAAGAACCTTACATTTGTTTTAAGATAAAGCGATAGATGTGATTGTGCCTTACAGCACCAGAGAACTGCTATCCTGTGGAAAATTAGGAAGCAAGAGTTTTTCTTACTGGCTTTCTCTCAGTGCACCATGCTTGCTTATGTCCAAAGTGAACTCATGTAGGGTGCTTAGTTGTTTACTGGTTTTCTCCTCAATACAATTTTGTTCTCTTTCCATTTTAAAGAAAATTTATCATGCTGATAGTATTTAAATTATATAAATTATCTATGCTGTTATGATGGAGTTCTTGCAAGAAAACAACCTCTTTTGGGGGCAGTGCAGTCATGAAAGGTAACATAGTGACATAAAATATGCCATAAAAGAACTAAGAATTTTAATTTGTTTAGCACTGAAAAATGTGAAAATTAAATATGTTAGTGAAAGCACATAACTTTGTCTTCTTTAATAAGTAAATCAAAAGTACACGTCAAACCCATATGTCAAAATATTTCCCTAGCTGATTGTTGTTTGAAGGTCTTTTAAAGAAGAAAGCAAAATCCCTCAAAAAACTGTCAAATGTTATAAGGATTTCTTGAATGATGATTAATAAATTATTAACTCTTAACTTAATGTAAGGCACCAAGATTGAGCCAAATATCTAATAGGTTTTTCCTTTTACTCTACTTAGGAAATAAAAGGATAGCGTACACTTCAGCCTGTGGAGGTCATAAGTATTTCAGACTGGATGAAATGTGTGTCACATTTTGAAGTGGTATTTACAACAGTGTTCAGGTACTCAGATTGAATGATCAAAATAGTGCACAGTCCTATGGAGTTGGATGCACAAGAAGTTCGCCACTTCTCACAGTTACTTAAACCAAACATGTCCCAGGAGATTAGAGCCATGTAGTCTTTATAGGGTTACCATCTCAAACACAATTATTCCTCAAGTGCTTTTGTCTGGTCTTTCCATGTGCTCTATGTGTCAGTGTTTTGGTTGGATAGGTGTGGTACATAGCTACTTAAAACAATGTGCAAAATCTGTAAAGATGCTGCTGGTGCTACTATAAATGCTGTCTTCAAATTGAATTTCACGTAATTGGGACAATGAAATGGTCCATATTTAATTTAATTATGGTCTGGTGTTATACTGTTTACAGTGCAAATTTAGAGTAATTGCAGAGCTTTTAATAGCCATTCCTTCTGCAGTTGTATACTTAGAAGAATGTGTGCTTTAGAAAATGATTGCATTTATTGGTATGATTTTCAGAATATCAGAGCTAATGAAATCAAAGACCTATTGTTCATTCAGCTGAACGGAGTTGGATCTTTTTTAGATTTAGTTTCCTCTCTAGATTGTTAGGCATCCCTCCTCTGTCGTCATTTATGAGATATATATCCAATTAACCAGTACATTTGAAGATTGTCTGAGACAATCACTTTATGAGCTTGTTACTCTTTTCTCTTCCCCCATTCGTAATATTGCTTAGAGCGTTGTACAGAGGCAGAATTAATGGAAAAATGCAGAAACTGCATTAGAATAACCGTAAGATCAAACAGAAAGAAAACAAAGTTAAAAACAAAATAGGCCTCTGGGATTCACAGGAAAAAGGTGACTTCAGTTTGTCCTCAGCCCAGCTGTGCCTGGATATTGGGATATTGTAGCTCCTGCTGTTAGGTATACTGTCCTTATTCCCCTGAAGCTTTGTCATAGAAGAGCACATTAGCTGTGATATTGGGACACAACTGGATGAAGGGAAGGCGCAGTTGTGTCTCAGTCTCCCTGGGTAAAAAAAAGAGACCCCAGCTCTTAAATCAGATGTATTTTTTTATTGGATGTTTCATCCATTTGCGTTCAGTTACATGCATAACCTTGTTTTGACATGCGACACCAGCTCTCCCATCTTTCTGAGGAGTCTGTGCTATATAATGCTAGAATAACTTCAGTAATAATTTTGGTACACAAGCACATATTGACATTAGTAGTCCAGGCATCGTACTCGTTTCAGTGAGACTTTGCAGTGTGAACATGATGGGTGATGAAATTGCTACCCAACCCACTCAGACAAGTTGGTACTTACTGCATAAAACGCTTTAAAAAGCATCATATTTAACTTGAGCAGCATTACAGCACTGCCATTCAACCTGTTCCTTATAACGATGCTTTGTATGAAAAAGGCCCTTGCTGTATTATTACAATGACTGTTTGCTAACCATCAGAAATGCTGTGTAGCAGAGTTTCCTGGAATGCTCCCAAAAATGACATATGTCCTTTTATTGAAGTTAGGGTGTTGTGCCAAGACCTTTGAGTTTCAGCCTAGTCTTGAGCGGGAGTGTAGTTTTGGGACCCAGCCTGATTTGGTCACCTCTGACCAAAACAAACGCTTCTTCCCACACACTAAAATGGTTTCAGCAGTGAGTCTTTATTTTGCAAAACACTTGGAAGGATTTGAGTTTCTTCTAGCTGATTTTGGAACCTCACAGGTTGCATAAAACATGGTTGTCACGATCTGCCCATGCAAGTTTAGAGGGCATTGCTGTGAACGATTCTTGTTAAATTTTGTCTTATTTATGTTACTTCTTGTGTCTGTCATCCATCTGCTGAAAGATCCTCTGTTTTCACTGGTAGTTCTTCTTCTTCTGTTGTTCCTCTCAACAGAATTCACAGCAGAGTTCGTTGGCATAAAGATTTTATTTTCTGTGTTGATACAATGACAATATTAAAGAATGATCCCAAAAAGTAGTGTTTAAAGAATTCTGCTAGGAAACATCCACTAACCTGAAAGGTCCTATGAGTTTAACCTTGACCTTAAAATGTTCCATTTAGTCACGCAGAGTCCCATAAATAACTTTCTTCTACCCTTTGTCAAGGCCTGGTATATATTGTTTAACAAGAACATTCATATGTTAGACAAAGTAGTCTGCCATAGGGCATCTGCAGTGAATTCATTTATTGTTTTCTTCTGTGATGCTATTTATTAATTATTCCACAGTTCTTGTGTGGGAATCATCTGGTTCCTCAGTTTTAGGACAGTCAATGTCTTTGAATTTGCCCTCTAAATGTGATGATCTTTCCCTTCTTTCCATTAATTGTCCCTTCTCCCTCCTTATGTCATCCCTGGAAAGTGAAGCTAAGGTATGTGACTCCTAGCCTCTAGCAAATAAGGTTAAAAAGGAAAACAGTGAAGTTTCTTATATAACTCAGAGTTGCAAATGTCCTTTTTGTTGACTGACATCTGGGAATGATTAGTTAAAATTAATATTGAATATATGATATGCTGGTTGGGATGCTGTCAGAAGAGAAACTTCACTTGGGCATTATTCTCCAACACGACTTGATGTTATGGTGCAGAAATCCCACAGCTGCGAAAATCTTTGTAACAAATGCCTTTGCATTTCATACCCTAGGTGGTTTTAAAGCTGTATTAAATATATAAGACAAAGTACCAAGGGAAGTGATACGCCTGTGGTTTCTTAACACTGTGGTCAGTAGCAACATCACTCTTGTCAAGATTTTCTCCATTTTGTAAATTGGTACAAATAGTTCTTGTTTGCAGCAGTCTCATAGATTTGATTGGAGTTGCAGAAGAGTTAATGATTTTATGAGTAATGTGGTGACAAGGGCATTGAATATCTCTAGTTCAGGTTGCAGAGATGTTAATTGATCTTAAGGGTGAGGAATGCAGGATCACCACTTTTTATTTTACAGAGTGTGTGTTGCTAATCTGCAGTTTAACTGGATACATGTGTCTGTGGGAGTTGTTCTCCACCTATTACAGATCTTGTCATGTCAGTACAGTAAAATTTCAACTTCCATTGAAACTAAAGGTAATATATTTGTTGCAGCATAGGAAAAAAAAAGGCTTGATAACCTGAGTAGAGAATATGGCAGGCTTTGAAAGCACAAGGAAAATAATATTTTAAAAAATAACTAAAATTTATTAAAACTTCTTATATCCTTCACCTTAATGACTGTTTTGTGATTGTTGAACTCTGGTGACTTTCAATA